GGGTTCCCTGCTCTCCTCATTTTACACACCTGCCATTCAATCTCACTCCTAAACACTGGTGATTCCAACAATATCTCTTCCCAGATGTTTCCTTGTGCCCAGAACCACATATACAACTATTGGGTATATCAAAGGTAACTCCCACTAACTCATCCAGAACTAAACTTCACCTTCTGTCCATTACCCTGTTCCTCCATGGTTTGTGTCTGAGATTCCTTAATATCTAGACCATAAATCAGGAGTAGTACTAGATTTCTGTCATTGATCTCTAATTGGTTGATTACTAAGCCCTCTAAGTTCAACCACTACAAATGACTTTTTTTTTTTTAGTTTTCAAATCACTTTTTTATTTTATATATTTTTACATCATTTTTCATTTTTGCACAATGAATCCAACCTCTATCTCCACTCTCTTGATTTCTAAGCAAATATGGGTACAGCCTGCACACTATAATCTTAAATGCAAATAAAATCATATCACTTTCTGCATGAAAACCACCTACTGATTCCTTATTATGTAGAAATTTAAATCTGAAGTTCTTACATGAATCAAAAGATAGGGAACTTACTATAACATTTATCTGCAGGACTCTTAAGTAGCCTTTAAGCATCTTACAGTTCAGAGTTGTGTATCTCTAGCACTGAATACAATTTATATGTAGAGAATACTTAAGAAACAGATGCTTGTACACAAAACTCCATAATAGGAAAGAGGATGAACTTCCCACCATTCTACCACATACATTCTATTCTCCAGTCATAGTCACCTTTTGTGTATATTTGTACACTGCTTCACTTAGCCAAGAATGAATACCCTTTCTAATCTTGCTCATGTGCAGGTAGTATTTTCTCCTCTGTGTTCCACTTACGCTGTGTACAAAGTTCTAATATGGACCTTATAACACTGTATTGTAATCATCTGCTGCCACCTCAAGACAAAATTCATAATTGCCACCTCTGTATCTTAATAATCTTTTTACTATACTTCCCAATAATTAGACAAGTTTTATTTGTCATCCCTATGAAAGAGTTGACTTCTAGATAGTAAGGACTATAGCTTAGTTTTCTTTATCTCTGTTATGGGCTAAATTGCACCACCACTATCACCCTCTGGAATTCATATGTTGAGCAATAACCTCCAATACCTCCCAATGTGCTGTACTGCATCTCGGAACAGAGCCTTTAAAGAGATAATTAAGATAAAATAAGGTCATATGGGTAAGCCCTAATCCAAGCTGACTGGTGTCCTTATAAGAAAAAAAACATTTAGACTCACAAAAAGACACCAGGGGTGCATACACAGAGGAAAGACCATGTGAGGACACAGTGAGAAGGCAGCAATCTGCAAGCCAAGAAGAGAGGTTTTAGGAGAAGTCAAACCTGTCAACATGTAAATTTTGGATTTTTAGCCTCCAGAACCGTGAGAAAAAAAAAATTTCTGTTCTTTAAGTGACCCGGTCTGTAATATTTTGTTATGGAAGCCCTAGCAAGTTAATACAATAAAACATAGCAAAATCCCTGCCACAGAGTAGTTATTCAATATGCATTACTGATATGAATATCTGTCTCAAGAGGCAAGGACTCTCACAGTCATCTTCATATTCTAAGCAACCAGAGTTCAGTAAGCAGGATATGGCACTTAAGTACTTGTAAATAATAATAAAAATATGAATGAGTTTGGCTAAATCACAGACCAAAGAGGACTCCAAAAGTTAAGGTGACTCTGAGGGCTTAGCTCCTGAGCAACTGGCATAAAATAGATTTTGAGGCAACCACAATATTAGGCCTGAAATTTCAGCAAAGTCAGCTATATGACAGTATGTGTATGAAGATACTTGAGGGGTAGAAAGGGGATGCAGTGCAAGATCAAGACTGGGGAACAGTTAAATATATCACATACTTATAACAGAAACTAAGGTCTAATATCTGATACTGGTAGCATTTAAAATCAACAAGTTAAAATTCTTCTGAGTACATATTTAATTTCTGTCCACACATCCTCAAGGGAGAAATTGGGTAACACTTAGGTAACAGGTATAGTTTTCCATATGTTGGCTTTTGTCTTCCATGTATAGTTAGCTTTTCTCCCCCCCACGCCCCACCCCCACCCCACAAATGGCCAAGTGTTCAGCAAAATAGAAAACTGAAAACTTATAAATACTCATGGGAGCTTGTAAAAGTAATACAACATTCATGTAATTTCTACATGCTACACAACAGACCCTGAGGTTGTTTTTCTAATACATAACAAGTGGTTCTGTTGCTGAGTAAAATACAGGCCTCTTGACTAAAGATACAGAATCATCTGAACAGAGGCAAAACATGGCTATTGAATGATATAACACTTTTTGCATCTAAAACAGTGGAGGAAAGTTACAAGTGTATAATGTCAACTCTAACTGTTAAGACAAAGTCATAGTCTTTGACTTCACAATTGCATTCTGCAATACAAGGTTATTACACATCAGAAACCAGTGCTTCTTCCTTAAAAGTAATAATATTATCAATATGGTTTAGTTAGGTACACTGGGGAAAATATCTAGATTGATCTTCTCAACTGGCTTTCTCTAAGCACTCAAATTTATTTTTCATTATTAGTGCCTAGATCTGTTCTAAAATAGGATTAAGTTTAAAATGTGGTACAGGGAATATAATAATCACCAAGTATAAAGGGTGATTCTAAAGCAAATATGTAGGTACCCACTGAGGAACCAATTTATGAAAAATTAAAGTGCAATTTAAATAATTATAACAATAATAAAAAAATGAACAACTAATCTTCATGAAGCAACATGTACCAAGCACTATGCTAAGTGGCTTAACAAATTTAGGTTGAACCATATGAAAATGGTAATTTTTTAAGGTTGACCCTAATACATTTTCTTATTTAATTCTTACATAGAGTCAAATGAGGCAAATACTGATATTATTTCTATTTTTCCACATAAGGAAACTAACATTTAGAGGACTTAATTTGATTAAGTTAAAGAACTAGGATATAGAACTGGGAATAAACATTAATAATACTACAATTGCAGCATCCTCTGTCATGAAAAACTAACAGGATGAGATTGTAGTACTTTCATACATTGCTCAAGGACACTACATAGACACTTGTACAGATTGTACCTTCACAAAGGTCCCTAGCAAGGGAATCAAATGAAACTGACATCCAGCCGAACTTCACTATCCAAACTATGGCCCTGTTACAGGATGGAATCTACAATGAAGGTGATTCACTCACACAAAATTGCTGTATTGGCTAACAGTGACCCTGATGCTGCTGGTAGGAGAAAATAAAATTATGAGAAAATTTTAACAATACAGATTGAAAGCCTTAAAAGAGTTATGTATTCTTGGATTCAGCAATTTCACTTCAAGTAATTTATTCCAAGGTAGTAATAATGAAAAAAAAAAAAAATCAGCAGGCTATAAACGAAACTAATGTGTCCAACAATAGAGTATTAGCTATTATAGTACATTTACATGATTAATAACTCAAACTTTTTACAAAACATTAAATGAATGACATTTACAAAATTTTATTTTCATTTTAGAATGTATTTCATACATACTCTATAGACGTGTGTGAAAGAGAATAAACATAGGTAATGGCATTATAGGTGATTTCCATTTTCTTTGTTTTTATCTTCACAAATTTTTCTGTGAGACATATATAGTGAGTCAAGAAGAAACTAAACAACAAAAACTACAAGAAGCAAATATCCTAATACAAAGTTTAAAAACTGTTAGATACTACAAGTAACTATGTAAAATTTTATTCTGTCTCTTAACTTGGAATTAGGATATACAATTTACTGTGGTCTAAAATTTAGGCAGAAAATACCTAATTTCATGTGGATGAGCAAGTCGGGTCATTCTAACACGTCGCCTGACTTGAGAAGCCCAAATTACAGACATCAAGCACAAACATTACTCTAAATATTTTCAGATAATTGAAACTTAAAGAAAATGTAAGAAGCATCTTTTATTGTATACCACCTGTTACAGAAACAGAATTCTCAATAGAGGGAAAAGAAAAAATTCGTGTCAGCTGGAAACTGGCCTGGCACTCCAAGTTTAGCATTGGTGTACTCAAGTTAAACAAATAATTTTACATAATACCAACATCGGAAAGGCCACTCTATGACCATGATGAATCGAGGTAAAAAGAAACTACTCTGTAATCATGTCTCAACACAGAAGAAAGCATGAATATAGTACTAATGGCAAGAACAACAAGATAGAATCAAATCCTGGAGAGTATGAATGACTGCTGCTTCTTTACCAATCACAGCTTTAGACTTGCTCCATTCTTGTCTTCTATCACAAAATCAATACCCTCCACTTCCTAACAGTATCTAATCTACTCCAACACCTTACTTCTAAATCCTCCCCAAAATTACTTAACACAAGCTCAAATCATGGTTTTTCCCTATGAGTACATTATCCCTTGTTACAATGAATGAATAAATTTCATCTTGTTTAACTATAGATATATTCCTGGCCATCTTCCCAGAGAACCCCGAAAGAGTTGGGAAGAGTTGAGACTACAGTTTTGATTATAGAGTGAAATTAAGAGTAAATAATAAAATTACCCAAAACACCCACAATCTCTAGAACAGGTAACATTCTAAACTTAAAGGGGCATTTTGATATGTAAATTTATCCTGTGATGAGTTCCCACAAATTAAAAAGTCCCTATGTCTATCAGTTGGTTGACCTAGTGAATTTTAAATGGCTAATGTTCAGTTTTCCATTATTACCCAAAAAATCTAAGTATAAAAAGCAAAAGGAAATAAAGAAACTAACTCCAAACATAAAACCTAAAATAATAAAATCCTCTACTTTATAATTATTCTACTTAATATTTCAGCATGTCCATCAAAAAGTTTTTAAATACGTCATTAAAATTAATTCATCTACCTGAATCACAGGCATGATTTAATAAACTGTCTTCTCACTGATCACTAAAATCAATCTTGGCCAATGTGTCTTACCTCCTGGGTCCTTATCTGGATTATACTCTAAAGCATTGCTACAGATGAGGTCAATATCTTTCAGGAAATCCTTAGCAGTCAGGTAATTATGCTTATCAATCTTAGTTATTACTGTTGATAAATCCATTGGCTCCTTGATTACTTCAAGATAATCTGAAACCTAAAACAACAGGATATTTTAATGAAAATTATTTCTGGTTTTTCATGTGATCTAGTCTTGATAAAAACACAAAATATAAACACAGTTATTTAAAAATAAAATCTAGGTATTTAAGAAATAATTACAGATAAGAATAAAATTAAAGAATAATTTACACTACTGAGGTTAATGTGTTTTAGTTTCCATGAAAAGCTTCAGTTTCTAGTCATATCTGAATCAACTCTGAATTGCTGCTCAACTTGAAATGAGACCAGTTGTGTATATATATATATTTTTTTTAGTCATTTAGAACTATCTGAGAAGAGACTGTATGGGCAAACACACCCAACAGGTATCAATAAATTTTTCTTCAAGAAAAATTTTCAAAAAGGAAAGTAAAAAGAAACAAAATTTTCAAATTATTAGAGAAGTTCTCTGGTAAAACTCTTTAAAATTTTAAGCAAAAACACTGTCTTTCCCAGTTTTCTAGAGTGAATCATTTCATGGAATGTGTTTCTGCTCCTTTGGAGTCATTACAAACATGCTGAATTAATTATGTAACAAAAACAAGTCACTTTTTTCAAGACTAGTGAAAGATTTACAGGACTCATTCCTAAGTATAAACCAAACTACAAGCAAAAAATACATTTCGTTTTATGTGCTGATTTCTGGGAGATAACCCAGTACAGACATTAAGTCATGATTTGCTCAAACATATGGTTGAATCTTTTGACCAGTAAGAAAGTTCTACCAACCTATAAACCTACTGCCTTCACCAATGCAATTCTCAAATCAGGTAATTGGGTCTGATATAAAAGCAGTCTAAGTAATGTCTAATAAGTCTAGGACCAAATTCTGAGAGAGAATAATTTCTGCTCTACGAAACTAGTAGTTTGCTCCACTGCAGATGGCAATGATGCCTTTTTTCTTTAATTTATACATGTTTGTGTGTGTGTGTGTGTGTATATATGTACATATATGTATTTTATATGTTTCTTAAATTTTAGGTAGAGAGGTGTGAGTGTTTTTAATTTATTTTTCAACCTCTAGGAGCTAACAGCCAGTCAATCTCCTCAAAGAGGAGGTAGTGGAGTTATACTGAACAAGCAATTAGTTCAGAAGATATTAGTTGGATTCTTGGCTCCAACACTTGGATTCCTTGCATACATGTGGAAATTGCTTATAACCTAAAGTATCATAAAAAAAAAATACTAACTAAAGACTATAAAATTTTAGCACCTATGCTTAATTTTAAATTCAGTGTTTATTTTCTAAACTTGTTTTCTCTGAAGTCTGCTTTGGGGTTTGAAATAGTTTTCAGACACTTCAAATTCATTGCCTAAATATAAAATTTTGTTTTGTGTGATCCTCCCCCAACCCCAAGAGTCCTATGTTTCTCTCATAACAGCAGAGAATGGCCTAAAAGAATGAACCTGAAAAGAACAACAGAGGAAACAAGAGAAAACACAATCCTTAAAGTTTTATCTGACCAAATTAACACTTTCTATTCCCTTCTACTGCCTTATCATCATTTATAAAACTTGTACCATATTACATATGGCATTTAAAATCTGCCAATCTCTTCTGATTAAAAAGAGTAAGATATCTCTGGGAAAGGGCACAATTTGCTTACACCCAGCATGAGAGATTGACTTGGGAACAAATCTTTACTAATTATGAAGTGTCAGGGTTCCACACCCAATTTGAAATGTAAATAAATATTTAAATCAATTATTAAAATTAATGATAGTTTTAAGACTATTTGCAAACACTATAAAAAAAACTAGAAATATAAAATGATATGGACTAACTGAAAACAGCAAATTGGGCAAGTCCTACATTTCAGTAGAAAAAAATATAACACAGCTGTTATGTGGAAAATGTGGACTTTCTATTTTAAAAATACGTTCAAGTCTTGGTTATGTCACTTGCTAACAAACCTGGTTTCCTCCACTGCAAAATAAGAAAAATAATGACCTTGTAAAGTTGTTGGCAGAATCAAGTATATAGAACTATGTGTTGTGGTTGTATGTACAAATAAAAGGAGAGTCCTTTCATATAAAAAAAAGGGGGAGAGGTGGAAATAGATATTTTCAGACTTGGTAGGGAGAACAAATGTAATGCCAGCTCACTCTTCTTCAGTCATAGAGAAGGTAATGGTTCCAAAGGAATCTGCTCAGATTCAAAAGCACAGATTTCACAAATATGGAACATTAAACTTTGAATCATTTTATAATTCAAATTTTAAAAAAAGATGAAGAAAATAATTAAAACTGAAAACACCAAAACTGTTCAAACATGGAGTCTGAACTATAAGAAGGAGGCCAGTAAAGAGTACATTGAGTTTATCCACATGCTATATTATCCCAGGATAAAAAACAAAAACAAAAAATTTAATCTACAGTATTATCTTAGATTTCAAATGGAAAATTTCTTTTTTTATCACCACAAACCATGCTCCCACCAGAACACAAACAACACACATAGAAAGTAAGAAATTTTCCATTAGGAGCTGAGAAAATCCTTAGAGAGAACAATAATTTTAGGTGCCTAAGATGTGTTTAACTTCAAACAGCATTTTACTCACAGGTGTTTTCAAGTAATAAAACACAAATTTCAGATTTGCTAGCCACCTCTTTTGATAAGGCATACATAATTTGGGAAATGCCAGTATTAATTAGTATTGACCAATAAACTTTTTGAGAGCAGGATTTATCCTGGAATAAAAATAGTGTAGTATGGACATTTCACTAAATTAACTTTCAGTCCTCTTTTTAAATTGAAAAGTAAGCAATCACAAAGGCCATTGCTAGTTAAGAGGACATACAAATTGGTCACTAATTTCATCTAAGTCACCAGATGTTTGCTGATGACATCAGTAGTTATCACATGGATTAAAATTTTACAGGCTAGGGGTAATATTCATCCATGCCTTTGCTTTTTTCCTTCCAAAAAAAGATGTCAATATTTTTTTTTCTTTTAGTCAGTTCAACTTCACTGTTTGCACACTACTGAAACAAGACCTCTTCAATATCCACCGGTTTGCTGAAGATGTTAAAGCGTTTATCTGTGGCCAGCCTCTTGGTTACATCCCTGAGAAACAACCGCAACTCTCTTAAAGTATTTTCTTCCTGGTCCTCCATCCGATTTTTTTCTGATTCTGATAACTGACGAGGTGGAGAAGGCAGCGCAAGAGGAAGCACTTCCATAGCACAAAGACCTGGAGAAAGTAGAAAAAAAAATGTTAAGATTCAAAAAGGTCAGGCCAGGACCTTAATTACTTTCCTGACATTCTCTCAAAATGTTTTTTTATAGAACTCCAAATACATGGGAACCATGCAAATCCTGTAAGTAAAGGTCTAAATAGAAACCAAAAGTACATTAGGTCATAGCTTTACTTTGTAAAGTAACTCACATTAGAAACCCTTGAAAGGCAACAATATAATTTTAAATAATTTGATTTTGAAGTATCATTTATCTATTATCTATGAGAAATACTTCAAATCAACAAACATCTTCAGGTGATATACTGTACTCTGATTTGCTTGTTTAAAACTGCTTCTCAAATTAGGGGGTTCCCCTGTATGTATGCAAAGTAAAATGGGGAAATAACAATTCTTTGATCCTTCCATGCTCCAAAAGGCAAGTCTCCTAAGTTCATATTCTCAGTACAACGCAGGTAGGATAGGAACAAAAAAAAAAAGGCGGGAGGGGGTAAACCACAAAAAGAAGAACCTCACAGAAATGGAGGAGATGGAATATAGTCTTTCTTAAGTGTTACATATGAAGTCTATAGTATTCACTTATCTACCTTAAAACAAACCAAAAACACCTTCTTAACAGGTGAAGGATTAACTTTCCTAATCATAATTAGGGTTAACTTTCCTAATCTTTTAAATCCTTAAAAGATTTTCCTGGTATCACACTGCAGTTCTGGATTAAAAATCCAAGGAGTCTCCCTGATTTCTAAATAGTCTTAAAATGAAAGTCAACAAAATCAAAAAGAAGAATTATGCTAACATTTACACAGAAAATTCAAATTTATGGGGCTAAAATACATCTAATGACCATGCAAAATACCTTATTAAAATGAATCATTTTTATAATAAAGTAGCTTAAATACTGGGACCTAGATTAAGGGGAGGCAACAACCAATAATCAGAAGTTGTAACTTACATATTTCCCAAAGTGTCTGGGAGGGAACCCACAACTACAGTCATTTGATAGTTGTTCAGATTTAAAATACTGAGAAATTGTGGAAAGGCACCATTAAAGGACAATTATCAAAATGTTGGATAATATAACCAATGAAAAACAAAGAAGTAGAATATGGAAAAGCAATAACTTCGCAGGAATCGAAAATGTTTTTCAGATCTTTCAAAACAGTTATAAGAAACATAAAAAATAAACAAGGGGGAGACAGTATGTTTTCCCAAACAGAACAGCTAATTCCCAGAAGTGGCTAAAAAATTAAGCAAAGTGGTCTAGTCTTTCAAGCATCCTTAAGACTGGGAAATGAAACCATTTTTTGGAATGTCTTAGAATGCAATGCTTAGTTAAGTCAAGGGACTGAAATCTGACAAATTTTGAGCCCTCTCTTAATGCTATGAGCCCAAATCAAAGAAAAACATATAGCAAATGATAAATTCACAATAATAGGTTTCCAAGTGAAAAGTATCTAACGTAACAATAAATATTTAAAGAATTAATAAGTAAAACAGAAAAGGCAAATGTTCTAGTCAGATCTTAACCCATCAAGCTAAGACCACAAATTAATCAGCTTAAACACAACCTCACAATTCACAGCGCTTGAAATGACTAAGACACCAGAATCAGAGTTTTTTTCTTTTGCCTATTTGAGTTTCATAATATCAAATTTAACAGACCATATGGAATGAAGCAAAAAGGAGATAGTTCTTTAACAATCAACTACTAGCAAAACATTCACATATGAGGCTGTAATTCCCAACTTTCTCAAGTTATATAAACACAATGGTGTCTTCCATGTATGTCTATCTAGAAATATACAGAACCTGAAAAACTATCTTTACTTGATGAAGAAATGGTTTAAACAAAAAAGACTCTAAGAAAGAACATATCTTAACTCTACCCCACCCGCATTTTCTGAAAGACTTTAGGCACTTTACCAGTGTGTTTCCTTCGTGGTGGAGCCATTGATGCCTGATGTAGAATCAATTCTTGGAAAAACTTTCTTCTGTCTTCTTCAATAGGCCTTTGAATATATAAGACCTCTTCATACTGTATTCTAAAGATACATTTAACCTACATAAGACATAAAATATATAATGAATTAAAAACTTACATATCATAAATTACATACTTTACATAATTTAATAATTACATAAATTACAATTTCTTCAATTTCCAGTACCACTTTCAAAGTTCACTAAATTTCCCTTTAGGATTAGGGTTACCTAGTCCTGGGCTATGAGGTTGAAAGGTTCAACCTCGTAAACTAAATATGATTGGAAAATGATCCAGCTGTCCAAGTCTTTAATAAAGTATACATTTGGAAGACTCAGAAGATAATAGCAAAAAGGACAGTTGAATGTAATAGTCAGATGATAATAATCTCAAAATAATTTTCACATAAGAGCTTTAAAGTACCTAAAATCTACAATAGAAAGCTGAAAAGATGCTAATAACACTGTCTTCCCTCATGCTGTTTCTGCACTTCCTCTGATTTCCCTTCCTGGGATCTTTCCATACCAAGTCTGTTCCATTATATCCTAGGGAATTTTTATTTTGCTACAAATGAGCTACTTTTCTATATCTTCACAGAATGCTGTACCATAATAACACCTTCCATGTAAAATTAAGTCAATCACTCTCATATCCCTCACAGTTGCTTCTACCTGATGATTACCTATCTCTCATTTGTACAAGTGTTCTTTAAAGATTGACCCCAGAGGTTCCCACGCAAGACATGCTTTTTAAATTCTCTTTACATCTTCCACATTTGTCTACACACTTTATATGTTTTTCTAGATTCATTTTGCACTGCTAGACAACAAGCTCACTGAGAACAGAGACCATTTCTTACGCATCAGTTTTTGATATGGTACATACTAATGTATACACTAATGCTTACTATGCATGTCTGAAAGAGTAAAGCTTGTGATTTGGTTTCTTAGCCTACATCAAAGTGGAAGCTACAAATTAAAAAAGGGGGGAAAGGCTACTAATGTGGAAAAGTATGAACCATACAAGTGTGGAAATACTGGAATAAAATTCAAGTCATCAGATTTTAGTCCAAATTTAACTATACATTTGTGGCAATTTTTGAATAATATTTCAATTTGTCATATCTAAGCACTTACTGAATTGAAGACTGAGAATTTCACAATATTTTAACAAGTCTTCACAATAATAAGGTATATAGGAGTTCCTGATTTAATGGAGGAAACTTGGATGTGAAAAGGTTTTAAGTAATTAGCTTAAGATCACAAAGTGAATAAGTACAGAAGACTAGATTTGTATAATCTCTAAAGGCCTTTCCAATTGTAAAATTCTAAACTAAAAAAGAAACAATGAGAAGCAGACATATCAAAATTCAAAATTTGGGTGGGGAATTATTTACCTCAATCCAAAATCAAATCTTTTAAGAGTTAATAAAATTTCACCTTGTGTCATTTTGGAGACTACCTTCCTATATAATTCCTTCCAAACCTGTTATCTATGATTTTCTGGCTTTTCTTTGAAAGTTCTTGCAAGCAAATTAACCACCAAACATTATTACATGCCAAATATCATGACAGACACTGCCACTATAAACAAAACAAACAAACAAAAAAATACACTCATTCCCTGCCCAAGAGTCACATAATAATGCAACATGATACTGTACCCAAAGTGGGATACCAGGTAAAGAAAGAGAGGAAACTCTGAAAGGGTTAACTGATGAGATTTGATGCCATGACCCTGATTTTGTAGTAACTAAAGTGTGTCAAATTAACAAGGTCAACTATTTCAAAACACTCTAATAAAGAAAGATACTTAATCAGTTCTTACCTCTTCAGGCAGTTCACTGTACATGGTTTCAGAGGTAGACAATAAAAATATAGGTGAAAATGATGGTATGTCTTGCAGCAATGTCAGAAAAGTTGCTCTCACAGTTTCACTGACAGCTTCCCACCAATCACCAATGTGAGGCATGTAAACAATACTAGGTACTGTTCTTCGAGCTTCACGAAAAATCTAATTAAGGAAACAACCGGAATTAAAAACTCAAATTGTTATTCAAAAGACTACCTAGTAACCCATAAATATATGAATGTGTCAGGACTGTTACTGTAATGATTCTTAGTCCAAATATTTAAGTTGTTCAAGATATGATGCACAAGTCTTACATAAAAGTAAGTACTTGTCCCACCTTAAAAAAGGTGGGGGGGGGATGGGTTTTTTTTTTTTTTGCCATTTAAGTATTCTTAGTCAATATAAAAAAAGATAGTAAATTGCTCCACTCATCACATAAAGAAGGCAAATCACCACAATAAAATATGCTGCAAATAAAGAGATAAAACATGCACCTATGTCACCCATATCCCAGTGATATCAGTAAACTTTACACACACACACACACAAAAAGGAACAGTTTACACACTTGTGCACACTGTCTAAAAATCACTCAAAAGGAATTAAACATTTTATCCAAGATGTACCATATCTTTGAGCTTAAAATTAATCAACCACTCGCTGAACCATTTGCTCACCTACCATTACCTTAATTCAATCTCTCATAGTCACAAAAAGCATTTACTTCTCCATAGAGCAAAAAATAAATTAGCAAAGAGCTCTGAGACACTCCCACTGCAGAAAATACAAAATAGAGTTTCCTCAAGTGTTATAATCTTAACCATAACTGCAGATCCACTCTGCCAGCATACACCAATAAGGACCAGGGTCGGCTATTAGGAAGCTGCGAAGCAGGACTACTGTCCTTTACAGACACATCAACAATACCTCAATAGCCTGTCAACAAATTCTTGCATGTTAATATGCCATGTCTTCACAATTTATAACAAGTTTAGGAATATATGTAAAAATCTTTACTTAAGGTTTATATTTCTGAAGCTCTCTATTTTTCCTTATTTTAAATACATTTCAATATTCAATATATAGAAATGAAAATCTAATATTTGAAATCACTAGGATTATCAGAAACATTCTTAAGAAATAGAAGGGTAATTTTGCTTTAATGAGTAAGCCTACCACTTGCATAATTTTCAAATACTACATTTTTTTTGTACTAAACTTGCTATGCAAAATTTGTTTCCAATTCAATAAATCTAAAGAAAAAGAATCAAATTAAAAAAATCTCCCCTAAACTGGAAATGTAGATCTTACAATCACTCACATCAAAAGTAGTATTTGCTCCGGCCCTTCCTTTAGTATTTGCATATCCACCAATCCAGAACAGTTGTATAGTACAACTCCTTCACAGCTCTCAATTTTTAACCTTTTCTGCAAACACACCCTTTTATCCTGGATTTTGAAAAGTCCAAGAATTATTGTTTTCCAAAATTCTTTTTAAAGATTCATAAGAGAAAACCAAGCATAAACACTGGTGAAAGGAAGGAACTACACAGGAGCACAGAGGCAAGTGAGGCATTTGATTCAAAAACATAAAAATGTACTACATGCCACCCATATAAGGCATGGTTTGTGGAAGGCCCCATGACCAACAGTTTTTGTCTCTTTCCAACTCCCACTCTGTGCAGGTATAACTAGGGAGTCGGCAAGAAAAGAAAGGTGATTATATAAAATAGATGGACAGGCTACGGTTTGCTGAGAATCCTCAAAAAACTAACCACTTAAGTGAGTCATGCAAGTTACCACATGTCCAGAGAGATTAAAAAACAAATGCTTTGAAAAAAATTAAATTTTGCCTTTCATTCTAGTACTTAAATGCTGGATCTATTGAGAACCTTTAGCTGCTAACAAGTATCAAAGAGTATGGGCAAAGGAACAGAAAGTTAAGTGATAATAAAAACTGAGTCAGAAGTAAAAATGAAGTACTGTAGATGTTTTAAACTTATTTGCAAGACGGATATAGTTTAGCATTACCAACTCTAAAGAGTTGAAGGGTATTTTCTATTTCTTTTCTTCTTTCCAGCCAATACTCTAAAAATTAACAAAATGACCATGATATTCTATTAACCTTTTTTATTATAATTTTGTAATCTGTGGTAACGACTTTGGAAATTCTATTTGAAACCTACAGGTGAAAAAGAAAAAAACCTAAGACAAATACAGAATGATTCATGAATGGATAATTACCTAAATTGAGAATTGAATTAACTAGATATAATACCAATATGCAGGGATTCTTTTTAAAATATTTCTTCCAAGCCTTTAAGGGGAAAATATTCTTAATTTTCAGAAAAATTTAAAAGCACTATTAAAACAACTTTTATTTTTAATTCCTCCCTGTTAACTCAGAATATTAAAATAAATGGTCATATTCTCTTTAAATAGCCAACTTGTTCTAATTCTCCAGTTTTTATAATGAAAACTCAAAACAGTCTGAGAATAGCATTTAAAAATTCAGAAAAAAAGGTTTAATGCTATTGCGCTTTTTCTGTAATGTAAAAATAGCTCTCTTCAGCAATTTGGGGGTTAACTTTCCAAGTAGTGGAATAAGACACGCTCTGTAAAATCAATTAACCAGGTAATTCAGGGTAGAAAATAAAGCCTAGTTTTAGTGAAGCGGCAACTGTCTTAGGAACAAGTGGTGCCATTTGATAACTAGAAAAATACTCACCTATGGGTGTCTTGGATTGGTGGATGTGCAAGGTGTAGTAGAAAACAGAAAAACTGTTATAGAGAAAAAAAGACAGTAGGCCAAATTACTGAACCAACCGTTTCAAAATACCTCTGACATGACCAGCACTCTTGCACAAATAAAATGAACAAACACCAGCAAGTGAACTGTTCATTTTGAGTCTTTAAGTAATATACCCTATTTCCTTCTGGCTTCTTCATGCCCCAGATATCACGGTCCCTTCTATCACTGATAGTCCCTTTTAGGATTTTTTTATTTAAAAAAATCGCTAATTACTTCCCCTGAATATTAAGCATATGAAAGGCAAAAATCAGGCCACTGAAGCTGAAGGACTCCATACAAGGAAGCTCTAATAATAGATATTTACAAAATCTTATATCAAAAACTAAACTTTCAAATCAGTACTTAAGACTGACAAAATGGTCAGTGCATGAAAACTCACTGTATATTAAAAAATTAATATACAGCTTGTAACATGCCATGTTCTTTAGAAAGTGAAAACTAGAATTTTACTTTTTTTATCTTATTTTTATATTCCCCATAAAATTGCAACCCCCTTATTTTGACCCTAATCCCTCTTTTCCCCGCCCCTCGACCCCCCATAGAGTGTCTCTGGTTCATAGTTGTTTGTTGATTTTGATATTTTCTTTCTTATAGTTATTCTTTTTCCTGGTCCCTTATTTAAGTTTTCTAGATTCCTGCTATGAGTGAGACCATCCGGTATTTTTCTTTTTCTTTCTGGCTTATTTCGCTGAGCATGATCCCTTCCGGCTCCATCCATGTTGCTGCAAATTGCATGTATTTATCTTTTTTGAATGCTGAGTAATATTCCATGGTGTATATGGACCACATCTTCTTGATTCAGTCATCTATTTTGGGGCATTTGGGCTGTTTCCAAAGCTTAGCTATTGTAAATAGTGCTGCTATAAACATAGGGGTGCAGGTGCTCTTTGGAACTGATGTTTCTGTGTCCTTTGGGTAAATACCTAGGAGTGGAATTGCTGGATCCTATGGAAGCTCTATGTTTAGTAGGTCAAGAAATCTCCACAAAGCTCTCCATAGTGGTTGGACCAGTTTGCACTCCCACCAACAGTGGAGGAGAGTTCCTTTTTCTCCACACCCTCGCCAACATTTGTTGTTGCTAGTTTTTTTAATATGTGCCATTCTCACTGGTGTAAGATGGTATCTCATTGTAGGAAAACTAAAATTATTTTAAATACAAAACATGAATGAAGCAGAAAATGCCTAGCCAGTAAAGCGTTCGCTTTCCTAAAAGGATAGGCTATATTAGAAAGACGGAAACAACTTTTTGTCATCAATAAACATCTAAAATTTGTCTTGGTCAGATTATATACAGTATTATAAATATGCTGAAATTATAATAGCTATCTATAATAGCTAGTTATTATAGATAAGAGGAAAATCTTAGGGCTAAAATAGTCTCAACTTTTATAAAAAATTAAAGTGATTAATTTTTTATACCATGCTATCACAAACCATTAAAATAAAGACTATACCTGAAATACAGACAACTTTATTCCACATATACCACTTCACCCCATTTATATTCTATTAACCTATAATTTATTAAATATTTCTTAATAGGTATTATCTGGGATCTGAAGATTCAGATTAAAGGAAAAGGGGGCCAAATTTCTTTATAAGCATAAGAACCAGCATGTCATAAAACATAACCATGACTAGAGTATGTGAACTATGGCTATCATGCAAGTCAACGTTTTATGAAAATTAAATAATCTACATTAATTTCCTGATATTTTCATTGCCTAAGAGTTTTAAGAATCTTGTGAAGTATAGGATAATTTTGTTTACCACTCAAAAAAAAAAGATTTTGCTTTGGTAAAACACAGAAACTCAAGTTACAAACACAAAAGCATCCAAAGCAGACAGAGACGGCTATGGAGAAAATCTAGAAACTCTATACACAAATGCAAAAGCACCCTAAGTACACACATCAGAAAGTATATTAATTCCCTTGGGCCTCCCTGGTGGCACAGGGGTTAAAGTCTCTATGCTACCAAGCTATCTCCAGCCACTGAAGCATGATCTCTGGCCAGGAAGCTAATCCACATGGCCCAGATCTCTTCTGTCTGGCCTGCTGCTCCCCTCAGCAGTGTATTTCAATAGACCCGCCTATTCTGCTCCCTACTCTGTCTCTGGTGAATCCTCTCATTCCTCTGCACATCTGGCATATACCCCAGTTCTTGTATACATAAATAAATCTTAAAAAAAAAAAGTATATTAATTCCCCTAGTGTTACTTAACCAAAAAAGATTTCCCCTGTGAATTTCAGATAAAATTTCTTGCTGGGGAAAGAAAAACACAAAAATTTTCACTAAAAAAAAGACCTATTGACATTTAAAATTATTTTTAATGCCATTCAGTATGACAA